TCCTCTCTTCTTCCCAAGACCTTTACTCTCTCTCACCATGAAGAAGACAATCTCCAAGGTTTCCAAGATCTTCAACGGCGGTAAGAAATCCAAGGAGGACGAGAATGTTTCCTCCATCACTCCTGCGCAATTGGGGGAGATGAGGGGAGTCATTCCTCCTGATTATGGCGTCCAGGAAGCCACGGGTACTACTTTGGAGCGCAATCCTGACACCTCCCGCCGACTGGTCGTCCACTACGACTCGGTGAGGATGGGATGCCGCTTCCCTCTCCATCCCCTCTTGGTCGAACTTTGCAACCGCTACGCCATAACTCCCGGTCAGATTTCCTCGAACTCCCACGAGAGTCTTTTTGGCTTCTTGGCGCGGTGTCACAAGAGAGGCATCCAACCCACTCTGAAGCTCTTCCTCTCTTTCTTCCGTCCCCACAAGTATGATGGCGAGTTGGGCCGGGGGTTCGTGAGCTTCACGGCCCGGGCCGATATGCAATTTTTGGATAGCCCGGTCGACAAACTTGACGATTGGTTCCGCCGCTTCTTCGTGGTGGTAGTTCCCGAAGATCTTCCCTTCCCCAACGTGTGGCGGAAGAAGGAAGATAAGTTCCCTTCTCACCTTTTTCCCCCTCGCGACTCGGAGCTCGAGGGGGTCTTCCGTCTTCTTCGCAAGAACGGCCATCCGGTCCCCCGCGCGCTCCTCCTCAAGGACTCGTATTTTCGGGGTATCGGATTCTGGGTGTCTCCCGATATTCCTCCTCAAGAGCCGTCGGGAGACACAACTTCCTCTTGGGTTCCTCCTTTCAGGAGCACACGACTCTGTCGGCGATCTTCTCGAAGGGATCCTTCTCCGGAGGAGGACACCGAGGCCAAAGAAGTAGGGTCCGCGACGGGGGCCCTATCTCTGGCGCTTGCCGATCAACCTCCCCTTTTGGAAGAGGTGGTGGTTGAGGACGTCTCCGAAGATGATGGCCTCTACGACTTCCCTCCGGGGACCCTGAGGGTGTCCGGCCTTATCCCCGGCGTTCCTCACACTCCTCTCTTTGGCAGGGGAACTTCTTCTTCGGCTCAGCCCATGGGCCCACTAGGTTTCCACCCCCAAACCAGTGGGCCCCTTCCGACAGGGGGCGCCACTGGTTCGCAAGGGTCCCTTAAGCCGCCTCACGTTCAGGTGGTCGGGATTGGGATTCCGTGTAGCACGGAATCTCCTTGGGAATATTCCCCCTCCTCTGGTTGTGGGGGGACGAAGCAATTTCCCAGCCCCAAACGTCCAATATACTTAATTTTGCAAATTCTGCAGCGGAGAATATTTTTGGGACTTCCTTTGGTCATGGCGACGTTCCTCTCCCCGGAACAAATATCCATCAGTCTTTTTTGGAGACGGAGGAGTTAATTCGGTCCTCCAGTTTTGGGAAGGCCACTGTCCCATCCTCCATCCGTCCCACTGCCCTCCCCGGTCCCTCAATTCAGGAGACCGGGTCTTCCTCTTCTTCTCAGGTCCGCCACAAGAGGGGCCGGAACTCCACCCCTCTCCCCGGTTCTCTGGTGTCCGCCGGTCCTCCCATGGGGACCGCCGATGATGAGTTTCTCATTGGGCAAGGGAGTCAACCCTTTCCCTATGCCCGGGAGGCCTATCAGTTCACAGGATA